CGTGATCCCAGGGTCCTGGGATCGAGCCCCGCATCGGGCTCCCTGCTCGGCGGGAAGCCTGCTTCTCCCTTTGCCTCTCTCTCTCTGTCTCTCATGAATAAATAAATAAAAATCTTTAAAAAAAAAAAAGAAGTAGGATGTAACAAAATACATTAAACAATAAAATTATTTTGGACTTAATATATGACAATTACTATAATTAGTGCTTCATGAGCATTACGAAGAATAAAAAATGCTCATTCTGTCACTAACATCAACTTTAAGTATTCATTTTGTTGGTTATAAGTGAAATGAAATGTTTTAAGTGAAATGAAAGATGCACAGGAAACAAGTTGTATCTTGCTGGTGAAGACTGAAAAGCATTAGAAAATGAAGTTTTGGGTTTATGAAAGACTATATATGAGCAAGATTTTGCTACACGTGGGATCTAGGAATTAGAAAGTTTGTGAATTAATACAACTAGGAATGATTTCCCGGATTTCAGTGCTGTTTTGTGGAGAAATTTGGCACAATGTTGTTTTGCAGTCTCTTTTTCACAATTACTCAAGTCAGACCGGCATTTCCGACCTTCACTCTGCGTAAACAAGAGGGTTGGTATAAACAATCACTTGCTGTAGACCAATAAAGTTAAAGGTTCAAGTTAAAGAGTATAAATGTTTATTCCATGTCTCCCATTTAAGAGGATAAGCCATTTGGGGTTTTTTCAGTCAGAGATTTTTCTTACTTTGTAATTCTTTCCGACTTCTAGTTTTACTGTGAGACAAGCCCATTTTGCAAAGGAAAAAAAAGGTTGGGGGGGGGGGAAGCAAAGGATTTAGTCTTTATTAGTTCATGAGACTAAGTGGATAAAACTGCAACCCTTCCAGGCAGTTTTCTGTAATTCCTGGATAAAAAGTAGAGCGGGAACAGGTGGGTAAAGGGATCAGGAAGAATCAAATATGATTTAATAATGGGCACAAAGATGGCCCCTTTCCTACTTATGCCAGCTAGGTAGGGTTATTGTCAGTGTAGAGGTGTCTAAAAAGGAATGCATTTCAAAAACCTTTTTAACCCTCTCCCCACCCCAAAAAGGAGAATGGTGTGAGGAATGGTCTTCTGTCAAGGGCTGTAAGATAGAGAGCTCCTCCCTGGCTTGCTTGAAGGTGATCCTTCTTGGCAAATGAACAGATAGGGACTTACTTTCAAGCTCTTCTTGCAATGGCCGCATTTAGTCTCTTGTATCTTAGGACTTAAGGATGGGGATTGCATCCGACTTGGCTTTCGGGACAGAGAGCTTCGCCTTGGAGAGGACTCTAAATCTCATCTCTTTTCCTTCACAGATCAGGGGGACAAGAACAATGCCCTAATGAATCAGGAAATTTTGACTCTTCAAGAAATGCTTAACAGTCTCGACTTCAAGAGAAAGGTTAGTGAAGAACGTTAAGTTGGCCTTTTGCCTCTTTTTCTCCTTTTCCTGTATTCTGCTCCCACTGAAAAGAATCAAGCTCTTGGATTCATTCAGTTTTATTTAAGCTGAATGAATAAACGGCAGTGTTTCTAGGAAGAGTGCCATACTGTTTGCCATGCTTCTCTTCCTAAGTTTACAAAGCTGGCCCTCTCTAGAGTTTATTTATCTTGTTTATGCAGTACGTTTACTGTACCATTAATTTCAAGGCAAACATTTTACCCAGTTTTTATTTGCCACTCTTTCAGACATGACCATTGTAGTTTCTGTACTTAATATGCTGATATGGGTTCTACTACATGTATAACTAAAATATTACTTGATGGCCGCTAAAATTTTATTAGAAAAATCAACATTCCAGTTTCCACTCTGAAAAATGACCTCATGCTAAGTAATTGAATAGATTTCAGGATAGTTCACTGACAACTGAACGTATTCAATCTAACCTCCTTTCAAGGAGAGGAGAAAGCTTTTTCTGGCTCAATGAAATATTTTAAAAGAGGGGAAACATCTCTATTTCAACTTTCTATCTCTCCTTGAAAATAAATGCAATTGAAATTTGAGCAGTCACTGATAAATCCAGAGTTTATTTCTAAAAGTTCAGCTTCATTTTTTGTGCAGGAATTTGTGTGAGCACAAATAAATGTAAAATTTATTTTCACCCTACATTATAAACTTCAACAGTTAGAAATCAGATTTTAAACATGCGAATATTTAATCCAAGATAAGCTTAATGCATTTAAGCATAATAGATCTATGCTATATGTTTTATGCGTGCTATCTTATTCTGCTTTAGAAATAAGATTTTAAGACAGAAGGAACCTTGGAAATAATTTGTTCCAATCACCTCATTGTATAGGTCAGAAGACCAAGTTCCAGCAAAGTCAAGTGGTTTTTCCAGATTCACATGGCTTGTCACAAAACCAGGATAGGAATTAACACCTTCTAATCCTTAGGCCTTTGAAAGTTAAACTTCTCCACTATGCCTCCCTCAACCCAGATAAAGTCCTAAAAACACTAACACAGAAAGGCTCAAATTTTAGTCACCACATTTTAGAATAAATGCATATATTTATAAGAATATAAATTTAATTTATGTCTTTTTAAAAAGCACAGATATGGCTGTATGACTAGAAGATTCAATATTGTCACAGGAGTTACAAATTCAATGGATTTGAATTTGTACTAGATGATATTCAATGATATTATGAGATGGTATGAGATTGTTAACTGCGATCATGCTTTTTCCTTTAATAACATTACTTAATTATAAGAATTTAATATGGAAAGTTGGAAAAGGCAGTGCTGTGATAAATAGAAGGTAGTATTTGATAAAATATTTGGTGAGAATTTTAACCAAGCCTTTATCCCCCAGGTCAGACAAATCATTTCACGGGTTGAATTACGAGTGACTTTGGTTGTATCTCACGAAAATCTTTTCAGTAGTCACCTTTGTTTTTAGGAAGCCCTCAGTAAGATGACCCAAATAGTAAATGAAACGGACTTGTTAATGAACAGCATGCTGATGGAAGAGCTGCAGGACTGGAAGAGGAGACAGCAGATCGCCTGCATCGGCGGGCCGCTCCACAATGGGCTCGACCAGCTTCAAAACTGGTAAAACGAATTGACTTTAGTTTCTAGTGAAAACCACAGGAAGTACAAAACTTCAGTTTCGCTCAGCCAGAGAAGGCAGGCTCAGACCAAAACATAAATTCATTGAGGTTATTGATGGTTTATTAGCCGCTGGGAACTCCACAGTTGAGAAAAAATAGATGCATACCATACGTATTTTTACTCTTATTCCCTTGGGGCCAAAAATAAAGCATCTGTAGAAATCTGTAGAATGCATAAGAATTGCTTAATTCTCTCCCATAATATATTAACCTTAAAAGACTCCAATGAATTTTTGAAACCAGCAATGAATACAACTTTCTATAGGGACGTAAGAAGCACTAGCTTCAAAAGCTTGGGAAAAGATATCTCAGTTTTTAAAGGTATATCTTAAGAAGCTGGAATTAAACACTGGTTTTGTGTTTTCAACAGAGTGATTTATTTTTGTATTTAAATGAAAAATCTCAAATGGCTCCTATGACCTGACATCCCCAATGCATGCACATAGGCAATCATATGCAGATATTACCCTTTGTATTACAAGAACAAATGTTGATAGGGTTTTCCTCATCCATGCGACATAAAAATATCTGATTGAAAGAACACTTAGAAAAAAATAATGAAAAAGAAGGAAAACATTCAGTTGAAATCTAAAATTGCTTTCAAAGGGTACAATTCAGTTCAATGGAAATATGTCATAACTGGGGCCATTTGCACTGAAACCTCTGCCCTGCCGGGCCTTCTTCTCCAGAACAGTAAGGAATTGGGCTCTTTCTAAGACATACTGAGTGTGCTCGCTTCGGCCCCACATATACTAAAACGTACTGAGTGTCCTTGGGGAGATGCTTCTATTCTCTAACCTCACTGTAATAATAAACAGTAAATACATAATAAAAATAAAATATAATAATAAAAATAATAAACAACAAAGGAAGCAATCAAGAACTTAGCAGATAACAGTGCTTATACCAAAATTGGTGGGGGGTGGACAGATGTTTTTATAGCACTATGTGGGGAGTAAACTTCTAAGTAGAAAGAGTTGCTGTCGGGGCCAGATGGACTTACCAAGTCTGTCCAGACATCCCACCTCTTCTCTGGTTGATGGTCCCTTGGGTGTCCGTTTCAGGCTGTCTCTTCCCTAGACTTCGGGCCCAAGTTCCCACCTTCATTTCCAAGGTGAGATCACCACATAGTGAGTAAAACTCTAAGCCTGTACCTTTCTCCAGACAGATCATTTTTGGCCAATACTTAGGATTTGTAAAAAACATATGTTTTGTGAAAAACATAAAAAATTTCATATTGTTTTTTTTTCTTTAGTATTCTTGTACATAACATTCTTCATATCGTGTATCTTTAAAGTTTTAAATTTGCTCTTTCTTTACCCATTAATGAGTGCCATATCCTTAACATCTATATGTTTAACAGACTTTTAAACAAACATTAAAAGGGATTTGGTTCCTGATGTTGACAAAATTTTATAAATGATTTCTATACCTACAGGTATAAATGACAAAACATTGAAAACATTTTCCATCTGTCATGCATCTTAGAGGAAAAAAAGGATTGGGGAAATAAACATAAAGAACTGCCACTAACCTTTAATGGAATTAAGTGAATGATTTTGTTAATTGAATAATTATTTAATAATTTATTGCTTGCTAATGTGGCTAACAGTTAAAATGGTAGATTTTTTTTTAATGGAAAGGCCCCTTGCTTTTTTTTTTTTTTAATTTTATTTATTTACTTGACAGAGAGACACAGCGAGAGAGGGAGCACAAGCAGGGGGAGTGGGAGAGGGAGAAGCAGGCTTCCTGCAGAGCAGGGAGCCCGATGCGGGGCTCAATCCCAGGACCCTGGGATCATGACCTCAGCCGAAGGCAGACGCTTAATGACTGAGCCACCCAGGTGCCCCAGAATGGTAGATTGTTAAGTGGGAAAACTACCTGCTGATTTTCATTTGCTGTTTGATAGCTTCACACTGTTGGCAGAAAGTCTGTTTCAACTCAGAAGGCAATTGGAGAAATTAGAGGAACAGTCTACTAAAATGACATATGAAGGAGACCCCATCCCCATGCAAAGAGCACATCTGCTAGAAAGAGTCACCTTCTTGATCTACAACCTTTTTAAGAAGTAAGTAAATTTAAATGTCTCATGGCGGCCTCAGTCCTGTGGAGTTGTAAGGACACCCTGGCTGGGGTTTTGGTGTTAAGGTGAAGGAAGGTAGGGAAGTGTTAAACAGTGAGCCTCAGGGTAAAGTGAATAAAGCTCCAGAGAGTTCTAGAAACATTTCTGCTCTTCATTATTTATTCAACACTTTTCCCAAAAGCTGATTCAGTTTTCTATGAGCCAAGCACAACATCCAGCTGAAGTTCATTTTTCACATTTTAGAAAAGGATTTCAGCAATTTCTTCTTAAGTATATATCCAAGAAATGAAGGGTAGAGGCCATGTTTATGTGTATAAGTTCATCCAAAGGGGGAAAAAAAAAAACACTACTATGTACCAGGATTTCTAATATCCAGTTAAAAGATGGCATGAAATTAACTTTTTACTTTATGATAAAATAGTATGATAAAAATAGGCTTTTATTCTCGACTCAAGGGTAACAAGAATTATTTACTGTTATTATTTAAAGGACAATCTTTATGCATTTTTTCCATCTCCTGGTAATTATCTATGAGCAGTCTTTAGAAAGATTTGAGCGTAATGGAGGTTTGAATGTCTTGTAAATGTAGAAAATTTGGATTTTTTAAGAGGACAGCATCCTGTTTCTCTGTGGTTTTCAGCCTGTCGATATTTTCAATGCTTTCAAATGACGTGCTTTATTTCCTTTTAATCTAGCTCATTTGTGGTTGAGCGACAGCCATGCATGCCAACCCACCCCCAGAGACCGATGGTACTTAAAACTCTTATTCAGTTCACTGTAAAGCTAAGGTAGGCAGAATGTGCTCTATCTTTTCCTCTGTTTGTGGAGCCACAGCCACTGTTTAAATAAGACCAATTTCTCTCCTAGGGCCTTTCATTCAACTCTTCTGTATTAAGTGCCTCCTGCATGCCCAGCACTGAGCTATGGTAGATACCCTCAGAAATGTTAATATGAGGGCCCTGCTTATAAAGAATATGACAGTAAAGATGAAGACATGAGGGATATTAGCATGAAAGGATGGAATCACAGTATCAGGCATCATGGGATCAATTGCTGAAAAGATTAACTTGGGAGAAGACTAGAGAGTCTGGAGAAGTCTTGTGGTCCTTTTGAGGAAGGACCTTGAGGGAGGAGCAGAGAGAGGAGGGAAAGTGGGATTGTAGGAGAGCGAGACTACAGAAATAATGACTTCCTGGGTCTGTTTTGCAAGTAAGTGAAGCAGGGAGAGGTAGAATTGAATAGAATGAGGACAGAATATGGAAGGCTTTGAATATCTTACCCAGGAAATAATAGTGGCACATTCATCCCCTATGATTGCCGAGCAAACAGCTTATAGGATTTTCCATGAAAACTCTCAACACTGTAATTTTCAATATATCCTTACTATGTACCGGATTTAAAGACATATGGCTTTTGAGTTGTTGCTTTGTCTATGCATTTGATCCTTTCCATTAGCATGAGTAACCAAAATGTATCATTTTCCCTAATGACACTTAAAATCATGAATTTGAGCTTGAGATTTCAAAGATTTTCATTATGCATCAATCTCCAAGGCCCCCAAGCTTTAAATTCCTAATTAAGTTACCTTTGACCAGGACAAGAGGTGAAGATGCCACATAGTGATTTAGGGCCCCATGATAGGTTTTCTGATCCCATATCACTAGCAGAATTGTATTTTTATTTTATTTTATTCATTTCCATTTTATTGAGATGTAATTGACATGCAGCAGCACTAAAGAAGTTTAAGCTGTACAGCATAATGACTTGGCTTACATAAACTGCAAAATGATTACTACAAAAAGTTTAGTTAACATCTGTCACCTCAGAACTCCATTTTTAAAGAGGTGGCATTTTCTTCAGTGTGCATTTTAAATACTTTACATGAAATTCTTAATTGTTTCCTTTGCGTGAATTTTGCAGCAAGACTTAGGAACCAAGAACAAAAGCCAGAGACCAGGTTCTCTTTTAAAATTTCATGATTTTCAAGAGTTGTTCATTCTTCATCCCAACATCTCTATATAACCCAGAAGATAGTAACACTAAAGGGTAGAGGGGTGATGGGCATCCTACTTTTCCTTGAGGCACCCCCACAGATGATATGATAAGTCTAAGATGCTCTTTGGGACAAAAAGAGAGATGAGTAGAGATTGCTCAGCCAAGAGTTCCGAGTAGAAGAGGCCCCCAAATGGGCATCACCTTGCATGTTGTTTGAACTGATGACTGGGACATTGACCATTAGTCCCTGATTTGAGTGTTCCTGCTTTTCTCTTCCACCTGTTGGTTGGGTCCCTGTCCTTCTCTGTGCCCTGATCTCCACTGTCTTGATAGATGATCATTTACTTAGTATTCAAGATTTTCCCTAAAACCCCTCCCTACCATAGTATCTCCTGTTTCAAAGGAAGGGGTGATATGGAACTCCCTTTAGTCATCAGCATCTTCCCGTGAATCAGATCCTGATCTATGATCCTTCCTACCCTATTTCACGTGACCTCCTCACCCCTCACTGCTAACAACTACACATATCACATTCTGAACCCTAAAACCAATCCGGTGCTTCATACAGAATTTATAAGGAACCTCTGTCACATTCTACCCACACTTTTGTTTGGGCTATCATCTATGATTATATTTCTCTAATGCCCATCAGTTGCTTTTCACCATTCTCCATATTCCATCTACTATATTTAGCTGGACTTCTTCCTTTTACATGTAGCCATGTCCACACTTCTCCCTTCCCTACACTTCACTACACCAGCTCCCTAGTACCTAGGGCTGTACTGGGTGGAGATGAAGAGTTCAGTACGTGCTGAGTGAATGAATGAGGTTTGGGATGAGTGCATGATTGGGATGAGTGAGTGAGTGATTGAATTAATATTTCTGAAACTGGACTGAACCCACAGAGAGGGTATATCAGAGGTTCCAACTTGAAGGAGTTGGGGAAAGCAAAAGAATAAAGGAGGAGCTGACACCAGAAGAAGAAATTAAAGGAATTGTTACTCGGATCTTTAATCACTTGTTTGTTTGGAGTTAGATCTTTTCTAGTTATGAACATTTTTGCTGTTACTTTCATAGTGTATTTAAAGATTGCAAATGCACTTGAATTGGAATTTTTCACATTCCATCAGAGGCCTGGTCTTTCTCAGTATTTTTAACCATAAAACAGTGATCATCAAGACATTTAGTTTTTCTAAGCTTACAATTTTTGTTATGGTATGAGAATAAAATGGGGCCATATGAATAAACTTGCAAAGAATTTTTCTTATATTTATACATTTAACCCAAATGTGGGCTTTAGCCAAAATATAGAGCTATTTTTCTGACCTAGCCAATGTATTAGCTACTGCACGTCAGCTGAAAATACTTTCCAAATGTTTGTCAATACGATATTAAGTGGCTGGTGTCAACATCAGTAACATGACAAACTAAAGAAGAGTTGGACATTTTTATTTTTAATTATTTTTATTTTAATTCCAGTATAGTTAGTATATAGTGTTATATTAGTTTCAGGTGTGCAGTATAGTGATTCAACAATGAATTGGATATTTTTAAAATACAGTAACATGTAACTAGAGATAATCTGAATTTGATTTATATATATGACATAAATATATTTAAATATTTAAATATAAAAAGGCTCTTGGCACTTTTCATTTTTGCCTCTGATTCTTTATTTATGTGTCTTTCCAGACTACTAATAAAATTGCCAGAACTAAACTATCAGGTAAAAGTGAAAGCATCAATTGACAAGTAAGTTTCTAATTTCATTTTGAAACATGAAAATGTGAGACTTTTTAAAAAGAATTTTCCTCATTTTATAGAATAATTTCAAACTTTTAAATGTATTTCTCTAACATTACATATCAACGTACTTCAAATATTTGACTTTGAAGTTCAAACATTTAATAGAACTCCAATGAAGACTTACTTTAAAAAATTTTACTATTAAGTCTTGAAATGAAAATTTATGACTATATTATACTATCCTCTAAAGTATCAAAGAAAGTTTTTACTAGATCTATAAAATAGCTCATTTTAAGGAATCTCCTTGGTTTTACAGGAACGTTTCAACTCTAAGGTAAGAAATTTATTTTAGAATTTTTTTGCTGTTCTCATAAATATATTTTATCTGAGACCATGTAAATAGCTAAGATATTCCCTGTAGCAATAGAAGATTTGTCCTTTGTGGAACTCATGTCAAAGCCATGTCCATTGAAGAATCTTCTAACGGGAGTCTCTCGGTAGAATTTCGACATTTGGTGAGTTCAATTACAGAAACTTCTCCCCCTCCCCTAATCAGATACATCTTCACAAATAGGCCTTATAAGTCAATATATTTTGGGTTTGGGGGGTTTCTTGTATGAGATTAAGGGCCATATTGAGAAATAAAACATGCCATCATTGAAGAATTAAAAATGTCAGAAAGAACACGGAACCTTAACTCAGAAGTCTGAGTTCTCAACAATGGTGATATAGTACCTAAATATAGACAGCAATTGGTCAGTATATTTTGATAATGATGACAGAGATAATTGGTCTTATAATGGATAGGCATTCCTGATTTTATTTTTTAAATCTCCCCGAGAAATGATATCCAGCAACATGTCTGGCCAAAGGTGCTTTCATTTTAGGAGTGGCTTGAGGAAGTAGGATGTTCCTGGGTATGGCAGTTGCATACAGTTTGCTTTGGCATGTCTAGAAAGCTTCTGACCCAGCCTCACCCTGTTGCTTCTTGTTTTTACCACTTCCTCTTAACCTAGAGTTCTCTTCCTGCTTTCTTTCTAATTCTTTGTATAGTTCTTAGATTCCCAAAGACTCTACCACTTTCTTGCCAGACGCAGGTTACTTATGGTTTATTAACACTTAGGAAGTACCTCACCTGAGTGTTGGGGCACCACCGAATCAACCTCAAACGGTCTTTTTAAAAGATAAAATTTAGGTTAATAGATATCTACCCATACAAATTTATGCTGGTTTTTGGTTTTGATTTTGTTTTTGTTTGATCTTTAGTATTGAAGAGTACATTTCTTTTTAACTGAATCCCTCCAGTATGACACTGATAAATAAAGTGTAATGATGAGTCATATATTATACATCCTTATAACTAGCGCTCTTTTTGCTTACGTTCAATTTCTATCCTTAAGAAATTTTCAGTAATGGACAATGTTTGCTAATAAGTAAAGCTGTAAGAGAGGCCTTAACTTAGAGATGTCTGTCTCTCAAAAAAGTCATGTGGAAAAGAACAAGGAACATACCAAAAAGTGGTTAGGTCTTTCTTCCAGCAGGTATAATATATAAATTAACAAAACCTTACTTTTTTACAGTCCACTTCTAGTTGCAAAGCATTTTCAAATATATTATCTTTTGCATAATAACTTTAATTGCTTTTTAATACAAAATTAAATGTAGAAAATCAGAGAGGCAAAAATTTAAAAATTAAAAATCACCTGTATCTCACTACCTTGTAACACTATTAACTACTTTGATTTTCCTTCTTTTATACATACATGTATATGTACTTTTTAAGTGGGATCAGATTGTACACACTATATAAATTGTTGTCTGCCCTTTTTTAAATTAAGTAATCTAGATCCTGACCATTTTTGTGTCCATCTCTACTGCCATTTAGTAGCTTCCTGTGCCATAGGGCACACTATCCCATCGTCTGTTTTCCCAGGCTTCTGTGTTGGACTTGGTTTCACAGGGATTGAGAATCATCAGAGCTTAGCTCAGATCCTACCTTCCAGGTACAAAGGAGTGCTGAGTAGATTTTAAGACATCCCAGCATGATTTCCTCTTTCCAAAATGTCGGCTAAAAAACATAGTCTTAATAGCATGCCAACTTGTTCACTTACCTCAGTGAAAGTTTCTAAAGTGACATCCCATGAGATGAAACAGAGAGCTTCTTTCTGTTGAATCCAGGCAACTACCTTAGGTTTCCATGAATTAGAAGACATCTGGGTTACTGTTCTAAAAGGCAAAATTGTGGCCAAGAAAATCACTATAATAGGTATGACCAACTTGATGTTTAATTGATAATGCTTCTCCATCTAAACGTTGTTATTCTTTTTTTGCAAAGCAACCAAAGGAAATGAAGTCCAGTGCTGGAGGCAAAGGAAATGAGGTACAAAATGTTTTCTATAAGATAATTTTTTAGGGAAATAACCTTATAATCTCTTGTTTTTACAAAGCTTTTAAACTGCCTTTATAGTTTTATAGAAAGTCAAATTTGTGTTTCTCTGGTTACAAATTAAAGCTTGATAATTGCAGACAGTGTAAGAAATTTTGTCTTAAAAAGGAAAAAACAGAAATTGCATGTAATAACAGCCTCTTTTTTTAAAGATCTTCTTTATTTATTCATGAGAGACAAAGAGATAGAGAGAGGCAGGCAGAGGGAGAGGGAGAAGCAGGCTCCCCCTCACACACACCCAGCAGGGAGCTCGATGCGGGGCTCGATCCCAGGACCCCGGAATCACAACCGGAGCTAAAGGCAGACGCTCAACCGACTGAGCCACCCAGATGCCGTAATAACACCCTCGTAAAAGAATAACTATTAACATTTTGGTTCACATCATTCTAGACCTTTATCTATGTATATATTACTTTAAAATATATATATACACATTGTTTTATAACCTGCTTTCTTCCCCACATAACAATGTAAGGTGGACAGCTTTCCATAACCTTAATACTCTTGGAGAACACTGAAAGTGGTTGCACTGTATTGCATTTTACGGGTGTGCCATAATGTCTTTAGTCAGTCCTCCGCTATTACAAGACACCTGAAAATCACTCATTTTCTACAGAGAAGAGGCAAGTCTCAAACTTCATGACATATGATGTGAAAATCACACGGGAAAAACAGTCCTATTAATTTATGGTATCAATTACCTTGCCGTTACATGTAAGGTTTGCATTCCACTGGATGAACTGATTAACAGCACACACTGATGTGACCCAAGTGTTTGCTTTTGAGTCAGTAAATGATAGAGCAGTCAAATCCTGGATTGCAAGTGGCCTTGGAGATCACCTGTTTAGTTGGCCTAGATGCTAGGGCGTATGCCTATGCCTTACATATTTGGAATTAGAAAACCTGGGTTTGAGTCCATTCTGACAGTGACTGAAAATGTGATCCTTTGCAAATGGAGAAATACTGCATATTTTTCCTCTAACAGATCAGGGTAGTAACGCCCAACGCTCTCCACTTGGAGATGTTATATGTGTAAGATCACCTACATAATGCTGTTGTAAAGCAGTGAGACTTATCTCTGGTGTGGCTGGTATGGGTTCAGTCTCCTAGCTTTAGAGTCACAGCTTCTAAGAGAAATTGCTGTGAATTATTTGGAAGGAAAAAGCACCTTATAAATCCAGCATTCAACTGCAATCAGGCTAGCCCTCCCCATAAAACCACAGAGATTGACCACAGCAGGTTTAATGCTCCACATTTTCCCTTCCAAGAATTCTTCATTCCCTTAATTGTGTCTTAAAGAGCATTTGCCCACCATCACAGCCCCAGGGAAGATGAGCTAAGCCTTCCTCCCAGGGTAGGACCTTGGCGTAGGGCAGAGCGGCAAACGGAAGCAGAGCTTTTGAGTTTAACGAGATTCTGGTAAACCAGATAAGTAGGAGTTATTGTTCCCACCTCATAGAAATCCATAAAGATTTTCCAAACTTCCTAATTGAAACATTAGCACATTATAAATAAAAAGTCATTTCATGCATCTCACTGGAATTTTGGCCAGAGTTGCAAACATTTCATGCAGCGTCACATCCCTGAGCAGTATTTGCTAAGTCTGGATAGACTAAATACAATGCTTCTGAATGTTTCTTAAGTAAAACAAATCAACGGGAATAAATCTAAATAGCTCAACTCTTCAATACATTGTCATCTTTATAAATGTACAATCAAAGTCTTGGGTTTCCCTAGAGAAGAAATCTACATAAAATCATCTTCTACCATATAATAACCAAGCAATGTCTTATTAACACTGTCTACTTGTATTACTTTGAATGTATTTCCTCTTATTTCCTGATTAATAACAAAATGGTGCAGTCATGTCAGAATGATTTTATTCTTCCTTTTTTCCCCCGTTTGCTAGCTCAGTTTTATTTTAAGCTATTCCTTGAGCTCCCCCTGTTGATAGAATTGTAATATGACACCTAGGTACATTTAAAACACACCAGACTGAAAAGTTGGTTCACGTGCTACAGGAACTACTGAAAAGTCACAAAACATATGAAGTGGGCTCAGAAAGATGAGCAAAGGAATCAGGGGTTTGGCCAGGTAGTAGGAGCGATCAAACGAAATCAGGAAAAAGCTTGGGGAAGATCTAGCAATAAAGCGGAGTTCATAAAGTCATAGGGTCAGAGATGGTAGTAACCAAAGTGTCAGGAAAACAGGAGGCTAGGAGGGATGCCTGGGTGGCTTAGTCGTTAAACATCTGCCTTCCGCTCAGGTCATGATCCCAGGGTCCTGGGATTGAGTCCCGCACTGGGCTCCTTGCTCAACAGGAAGCCTGCTTCTCCCTCTGCCTGCCCTCCCCCTACTTGTGCTCACTCACTCTCTCTCTCTCTCTCTCTCTGACAAATAAATAAATAAAATCTTTTTAAAAAAAAACAAAACCAGAAGGCTAGGATATGATACCTCATTCTCAGATTTCAAATAGTAGTTGTTGCTTATCTGTGAGCATCCACAGCGGGAGTTCACAGCCTGATTAAGAATGTATTTAACAAATCCTCCTGTGGCATTTAGTGTATACTGGGCCCTGAGAGCTTCAATGACCTTGATTTATATAATTCTTGTGACAATGCTATGAAGTAGTTACTATTAGTGTACTTATTTTAGGTAGGGAAACTGAGGCACAGAGTGGTCAGGCCGAGATTCAAACCATGGTAGTCTGGCTCCCCTGTCCATGCTCTTGGCCACTATGCCATGCTGTGTCTGGGATCATAAAACCTGCACCGGGAGAAGCGGCGCTGACCTCCTCCTGCCCGTCGCCTCAGCGCGCTCCCTCCATTTGTTGGGATTCCTAGAAGGGAGGTCTTTGCGACCTTACGAGTAGCATCTCATCCTTTCCCCTGTACTCCGGCTGCTGTTCTTACTGTTCTCATTTTGCCCGCCCACTCAGAGATCCCATAACTATCTCGCACCAGAAGCCTTATAAAGTTTAGAAGAAATTTAAAATAATGCTTTCTCAGGAAATGTTGTTGACCTCTCCCATACTCCTCCACGCATCAGTTGGGGATTGGAAATAGCACCATGCTGGGGGCTGCCTCTTACAGGCAGCTGACCTTGTGCAAGCCACTTACCCTCACTAACTCCCAATTTCCTTATCTGTGAAATGGGGATCAGGTTGACCTGCACTCACAGGGTTGTTAATAGGACCAAATGAGATGGTATGTGGTGTGGTTCTTCCTGATCTGCCCTCCAGAGCTGCCCCTTTGTAAAGAGTACCTATTTACATGGGTGGAGAAATATCTGTAAAGATGGTACCTGACTTAGGACAAACCACTGCTCTTCTCCTTCTCTACCCACCTGCCAAAGTGCTGGGCTGGGGCTGGTCCCTCTCAAGGGCCCCTGAGCACATCCTTCTCTGGCTCCAGGTCCCTGAGACCTCAAAACACCATACATGTATGCCCTTTTCATAGGATCACATGTCCTGGGTTCCTACTATCACCCCACCTGCCCCCCCATCTGATACACACACACACACACACACACATTGGGCCCCTCCGGTCTGCTTTTGTGGTTGTCAGAACTTGGACTGGATACTTACTAAATGACTGAGAACAAACCAAGATATCATGAATGATAGTTCCCTAGGGGCGCCATTCTAAACCTCCCTAGCACCCCATGGCTGTTTGACTCACATTATCCACAAAGAGGTGGTCGGTCAAGATGTGCAGGGGTTCCTGGCTGTAGAATTGGATGAAGGGAGGAAGTTGCATTAGACCCATACTGTCCCAGAACAACCAAAGAGGTGCCTTGGGAGCCATCTCTGGATTTGGGAGGGGGGGCGTTGGTGAAAGGTGGAGCTCTGGGTCCCCCACCCCTGCTTCAGTCAAGATGGCTCTATTTTATATATTTTACAGATTGGAACCCAGATGGTGAATTTCTTTTCAAGAATTTGTTTCAAGGTTAAAAAACATTTGAAAACCATTGGATTTAGACAGTTTCTAAAGCTTTTTTGACTAAGGTTCTGTAATCTGCAAAAGTGTAACATAGAGCATGGTCTTTACTTTTTTGTAAAAAAAAAGGTATTTAATTCTAATGATTTGCTTTGCAATTTTGCAAACCCCCCCCCACCCCCCCTCGGGAAATCAGTCAACGCGCTGTCACAAAACCAAGATTAGCCACTGCTGCCTGCTTCTCCCACCTTCGATCTTTCCTTGCAGAAGCCACCGCGAAGCCACAGTCCCTTCCCCTAGCAAACGGCCAGATTTGGAAGGCATCTGATGGCCCGCGTAAAACAGACATTCCCAGGAAGCAGGCTTTCCCAGACGTCCTTCTCTGGCAAAAAGCTGGCTAGAGAGTCATTGTGGAAATGTGGACACTGAACGGGCAAGCTGGTATTGCAGCCGTTCAAGTTTGCTCTTGGTCAGTGGGCTTTAACTGATAAATGACAGTTCTCGCCACAGACCGAGGTGTTGAGTAATTTTGTTTATGTGGTGGAAAGTCATGAAGCACAAAGAAGCTGTTAGTAAAGCCTGGGCGATTTGAGTTTCATTGAACAAAATAGCCAAACAGATGTTCTTTCAAGGGTCACTGTTCCCAAACACAGATACACTACTCACGGGCCAACTAGCCCAGGCATTTTTACAGAAAGTTTATTTCCTTCTGAACAATTCAAGTAGTAGCAACACTTTCCAAAAGAGACGTCAATACAAGAATAACACTAAAAATGTCGACTTTTTATGGGACACCCTGCATGCAGTCCCCGCCATAAACTGGGCTGAGAATAGTTGTTATTCTCCATTTATTTCCTATGATTCTGTGATTAAGGTCTATCGCTCATGTGATTGTACTGTTATTTTCCCCTTTATCATTGTTTCCCAGCATCTAAGCCAGTGCCTAGCACATGATAGGTATTCAACAAATATTCATTAAGTGAATGGATTATTGTTAATTATTTTCTATTCCACATAGTCCTCCCCGTGCTACATTATCATAGATTACGGCTTGTTAAGAGATGAGCAAGGAGGGGCGCCTGGGTGGCTCAGTAGCTTAAGCAACCGACTCTTGACTTCAGCTCAGGTCATGATCTCAGAGTCCTGGGATCCAGTCCTGCTCAGGGCTCCGTGCTCAGTGGCAAGTCTGCTTGTTCCTCTCCCTCTGCTCCTCCCCCACGCTTGCGCACACTCTCTCTCTCTTTCTCAAATAAATAAAATCTTTTTTTAAAAAAAGAGGTGAGCAAGGAATTTAGATGAAAATTAACCTTATCCCAGTCATATCTCTTCAACAGAGGTTTCTTTTGAAGTCAAAAGCCATAACTATTTGTTAACATATTCTAGATTTCTAGGGTGTATTATTAGGCATTGAGCAGAGGAAAGAAAAAGAAAATGGTGACATCTATACCTACCTTTCATAAGGTTGTGTATCTTTTTTCCAGGAGCCTGGTCAAGTAGTTCTGCCAGTTTTCCAGTTTCTTAGCAGATTATCCAATGTGTGCTTTTCTTTACAAGTACGACGAAGTCAATCCGTCTACATTATTCAGTGCCATATAATAAAAATATCATAAATATGAATATTTTAAATCCATAATCATTTCAGATCATGGCTTTTAAACACAGCCATTAATGGTGCATCTTATCTATGATGTTTTCCCCCGTCTACAAAGAATGGATCCTGGGAATGGGAAATTGAATAGTGTCCCTGGCTGGGACTACACTGATAAAGTAATAAAGACCATGACCGATGGCCATGTGAGCTTTGAAAGTTAATAATGCTTCCTTTTGTCAGAGCTGCTTTTCTCCAGGCATGTGTATTATATGTCAGCTTCCTTGCTGGATCTCATTCTAAATGTGCCTCACAACTGCATCAGGGGTTTTAAGTAATCATTAGATATTAGTTTGAGGGGCGCCTGGGTGGCTCAGTTGGTTAAGTGTCCAACTTCGACTTAGGTCATGATGTTAGGGTCCTGGGATTGAGCCCCACGTTGGGCTCCGCACTCAGTGGGGAGTCTGCTTGAAGATTCTCTCCCTCTGCCCCTTCCCCTGCTCTCTCTCTCAAATAAATAAATAATCTTAAAAATAAAAAAGAAATTAGTTTGAATCACTGAGGAAACTTCTCACCATCCACATTCCAGTTCAGTAAAGTGATAACTAAAGTATGTAGGCTTTTTTCAAAGTTAATGGACAACTCTGAGTGTCATTGCTCTGTCTATGGAGTCCTGGTTTCTCACACTTTGTGAACACACAGGTGCCATAACACAAAGATCTGAGGAAATTATCCACAATGAATAATTATATCATATGTGCATTTAATTGTATAAATTAAACTATAGAGGCTAGTATGGAGGAGGGATGGGACCTCATACTCAAAAAGACTCCCTTTAGCCATCCTCCAGCAGTGGCCCTCCCTACAGAGAAAGATGTCTGTGGGGCCAAGGCAGTGCGCTTTCCCAGAGTCCCAAGCGCAGACGGCACCATCAGTGCAAACATTTCTAGGCACAAGCAGAAGCCTCTGGGCCACAATGGTCAGTGAGGCCCCTCACAGAGGTGGAAGAGCGGGGTGTGGGCAATGGTCCAGAATGGCCCTGCTCTCTCCAGGCCACCATGTTCCAGTGGAACTTTGAGGAGTTAAAACCTGGCCAGTTAGGTCATATGAAAGCTTAGATGTCAAGGCAGGAGGCTATATATATTTTAACAGTTTGTTAACTTGATTTATAATGGTTAAATGTTTAGACATGTGGTATGTGGGGTCTCCGTCTGTGTGCTTGCCTCAGGCCTCATAAATGTTCTACATAGGCTTGTATCATCCTGTCCACTACTGAACTTAGTGAGAATGTGAAAGGAATCCATTAGTGAACATGAAGTTATGGATTCTTCATTTGTCTCAGGGTTTGCATAGTGGAAGCACCCTATAGGGCAGTGAGATTTTCTGTTTAAAAAATGTGGGTTTTGTTCAACTTGGTGCCTAAACACAAGCTGGCTACTTCATCTCATGCTCAACTGAAGAAACAGCAATTTATTTATTTCAACATGGGAAGGGCTTGGGGGGAGGGGTGCTGGCTGTTTCATGAGTTGGATATACTGGGAATAATTTTAGGGGTGGTCTAAGGGAATTTCAAGCAAAAGTTCCACTAGCATAACTTTCTACTAACCCAGTAAGCAGCCATCCCACTCCAGTAACTCCAGCTACCTCAAGTCAATGTAAAGTACCAGCAGTGATCTAACCCAAGGAAGAGAGGAGTCTTTAATTCTCTACTTCCTTCTCAGTAACAAATCCTAAGTTTAACATTCCTCATTGTCAATGAAGTCTTCCTCACACAATTGTCATTCATATCATCATATTAGAACTATTTTTATCATTTGAAATTTATTACAAGTAGATTCCAACTTGTTATTAATACATATCCAATATTAGATCATTTCTCCCAGGGCCGACTCTGCCACCCCCAACGCCACCCTGACTTTTCTAGTCCCAGTAATTCCTCTTCTGTTTACAGGTTCCCAAGGGTTTATTTTTTAACATTGTCTAAGCCTTCAGGGTGCCTGGGTAGCTCAGTTGGTTAAGTGTCCGGCTCTTGATTTCAGGTCTTGATCTCAGGGTTGTGAGTTCCAACCCCATGTTGGGCTCTCTGCTGGGCATAGAGACTACTTAAAAATATAAATAAATAAATAAAGTAAATAAGTAAGTAAATAAAATAAATAAATAAAATTGTAATAAATAAAATTGTTTAATCCTTCTACATCATCTCCAAATTTTCCACATCTCTTTTGAGACTAAACACAGTGTAGATATAGCACACGGACACTCATTGTCTCACAAATTCCACCCAAAGTTCTTGTTAAAATGCAGACTCTGATTCTTGGCTTGGGATGAGGCCAGAGATCTTGTATTTCTAACCAGCTTTTAGATGTTGACAATGCTGCTGGTTCTGGGCACATAGCAAGATGCTGTAAGATTTCATTAGGGAAAAACAGCAATTTCTGTCCCACTCCTTCCCACACCAAACCTACTTTCCAGAGGTGATCATTTTTTGAGTCAAAGTATTATGCTAATATCATACTAGTATTTCTTGATTTTTAAAAAAGTTTATACATTTAACTCCTGAATTTTTTTTTTTAAAGATTTTATTTATTTGACACAGACAGAGGGAGAGCACAAGCCGGGGGAGCAGCAGAAGGAGAGGGAGAAGCAGGCTTCCTGCCGAGCAGGGAGCCCGATGCGGGGCTCGATCCCAGGACCCTGGGATCATGACCTGAGCCAAAGGCAGATGCTTAATGACGGAGCCACCCAGGCACCCCCTGAATTCTTTTTATAAGAGATTAAACTGTGGCTCTTTTATACCAGCTCTCTATTCATATAAATTTCCCCCATCTTCACAGTATCATTACAGAACATATTTTGGTTTAGTCAGTATATTCAGTGTTAACATTAGTATGAATATATGAAAATTATCAACAGCTGAACCATATATCATAGTATAATTGCATTTCCATTCTTGTATTACTTCCAATTTACCCTGGATTTATAAGTTGCCTTAATTTCATTTTATTCAATCAGTTTATTTTATGTACTTATCACTAATGTAGCCCAAAACTTTTCTTCAAAATTTGAAAATTTCTTCTTTCTTTTTAATAAGATTTTTTAAGAGATTTATTTATTCATTTATTTGAGAGAGAGAGAGAGAGAGTGCACGGCAAAGAGAGGAACAGAGGGAGAGGGACAAGCAGACTCTGCTGAGCACAGAGCCTGATGTGGGGCTTGAACTCAAGACTCCAAGATCATGACCTGAGCAGAAACTAAGAGTCAGACGCTTAACTGACTGTGCCACCCAGGCGCCCTGAAACTTGAAAACATCTTGCAATATGGTCAAACAGGTCAATCTGAGTTTTTTGTTTTTGTTTTTTTTTCTTTTTTCTTGGCAACATCCCCCTAGGAACTCTCCATCTCTTTCTCTAATTTGGACTGATTGCCCTCTGATTCTGTTGCACAATTTTTTTTTTTTGCTTCTTAAAACAACTTCCTTTCACTTTTTAAACAAATTCATTATGACACTGACTTGTTTCTGTTATATCTATACACATATGCATTGCTTTTATTAATAGTTTGTAAGCCAGAAGGACTAATTTTTTTTAAATTAAAAATAATTATTTGTCTGCATTTAAACTGATGAAAATATGCTGGAATTTTAAAAAAGTCAAAAATTACATTGTTAGGGAGACTTAAAATCATTCTGTTTGTGGAAATAAGATTTCTCACTCTGTATATATGCTAAATAACTTTTTTTAAATAATAAGAGGGAAAGTTCCATAATAGGGAATGTTTGGGGCATTTACTTTAAGACTTTATTAATTTTTATAGAAGCAGGCCTAATAGGTAGTAGGAGTGCATTTGTAAGATAACAATTGATTTCTTTCTTCCTAGGGCTGTCACATGGTAACTGAAGAGCTTCATTCTATAACCTTTGAAACACAGATCTGCCTCTATGGCCTGACCATAGATTTGGAGGTAGGCGTCAATCAACTATTTACTAATAATATACTCAGTCATTGGCTGGCATTTATAGATGAAAGCCGGGTCTTTTCTAGGTTTTAGTACATTCCCTATTTTTTATTTTTGTTTAGAGTTTTGTTTAGAAAATTTAGTTTAGAAAACCAATATGTCAGATAGTTACTAATTAGTCAACATTCTATTATTAGAATGTATACTATTCTGGTTAAATATAAATGATAAGATCTCATGGGCAAAAAAAAAAAGATCTCATGGGCATTATCAATTGGATATCTATTGAATAATTGCTTGCCCAGATTGCATGTTTGTTGGTTCATTTTCTGAGATCTTCTGAGTCATGAATAGTTAGTGGAAAGCCTAAAGAGAAATAAGTATCCTTAAACCATGTCACATAATGATATATTTTCAAAAATTTAACTTGTACATAAAATCCCTCAGAAGGAAAGCTTTTCCAATGTAATGAGTAAAGACAAATGATAGGAACATTAACGATACATTGTTTTGATTCTCTTATAACAGTCACTATTGTACTCAAAGAAGGAATAGAGCAATCTTGAGGATTAAATTGAACATGACTGACTATGAGCCCCTTGAAGGCAGGGCATCATGACTTTGTCACTCCATTACCAGTGACTCAGTGCCTGGCCCATAATAGATGCTCAACATAGGTTAAATAAATGAATGAATGGGTGCATGAAGGAACAAACACAGTTTTACACACCCCGAATATGATCTTATTTGTGGGATGTATTGTTTTAGAGTTCTGCTTTTCCTTTTTTATCTTAATAAGTGTAAATATGTAAAAATTTTCCATAAATGCCTTCCTCGTCTCTTTTTCCTATACCTCTGTTTCCATGAGCTATTAAGCTGGGTATTTCACTGTCTGTAGAAATCTAACCACTGTTATTGAGAAGGGACTAATGTAAGTTGATTGGTTTTGCACACTAGTCTGTGAAAACCTGTTTATTCCATGAGGTTGAAAATGACAGTACAAATATTGCTAAGCTGAGTTCCACAGCAGACCAGGCAGCTCTGTTTCTCATAAAGCTTTGTACTCCAACATTGCTTACCTCTCCAGCTTTTGCAGTGAAAATGCCCATGTCTAGTACTGACATTAATTAGATGTCAGATCATAAATTGAATATATTGGTCCATTTCAAGATAAATTTAAAATTAAATTCTTTATAGTAACTTAGTAAGAGAACAGTGGCAAAATCAATGCAAGCTCTAATTTGTTGCATTTTGGGCTATATATGATGTAAGTATCAATATTTGTATAATGTCAAGGGAAGATACTGGAGAAGCTAACTGACCAAGCACTCTGAAAGGGTTCCTGTTTTTATGGCTTCTTTCATCCTTATTCCTTGATTCATAGATGCTCAGAAAGTTCCCTTTCCTTCACAAGTCATTTTAGTAACCAGGGCAGTGTCAACACCAGGATTAAAGCAGTAGAGCTGGCTTGAGATAGCCCTGTAGGGGACAGGATCAAGTATCAAATCAGTGCAAGGTGCAACTACCTGTAATAACTGTGCTTTTTTTTCTCTTTTAAACCAGACCAGCTCATTACCTGTGGTGATGATTTCCAATGTCAGTCAGTTACCTAATGCTTGGGCATCCATCATTTGGTACAATGTGTCAACCAATGATTCCCAGGTAGGGTCTCTATTCCTATTTCTCCTCCTTTAATTCTATTTGATTTGTTTTATTGTCAAAACACCCATCTGCATCAAAAGATATATGTATGAATTTTAACTATATATTCATATATCTATGTATATGAAATTTGGCATGTCTTTGTGGGTTGTTTTCTTCCAGAACTCCAATATATTTAGTTGCATGAACCCTCTCCAATGTTATATTTAAAATGATATGTTTTGATGTACTTGGACGTTGGGAGAGTTCTGGCTAGCAAAACTGACGGACAGGTATTTGTTACTTCTGAGGGTCTGATCAGCTCCCAACTATGTGGATCACAGAGAGTTCTAGGCCCATCCTGTGGCTCTGTTAATTGGGCTGTGGGGAAACTTCTTGGTCTAGAATTTAACGTCTAACTGCTGTGTTTACCTCCACAACTACTTCTGGTCACACCTCCACACAGACTTTTCTACAAAGGTAGAAAATTCGTTTCCAAATAAGTGACCTAGAATATCAACCAATCTTGCCTAACTGCCCTCTGACTACAAATTTTCCAGTTGATTATAGGTTTAATCCATTCTAGGCTCAAGTTGGGTTTTAATGCCATCTGGTGGTTATTTGAAACATTGATCAAAAATTGGCCTCAAGTTACAAAGCTAGCAGAAAACAGATGCTCTTCTTAAAAGACAACCACGGAAGGGAGTGGCAAAAAAGATGAGTCAGCCCTTCGCCTTGTTCCCTCTTAGAAAATCTCATTGTGTTGTCCTGGAAACCACCGAGGTCTAGAAAAAATAGGTCAAATATAAATAACATTTCTTCTTAATTCAAAGCAAATATTCACTCTTAAGAATTTTTTTTTTTTTACCTTAGGTTCTAGCAATAAGAACAGACATGATGAGTTAGCTCCAAGTGTTCTTTCCCTTTTTAAAAAATGTGCCCAATAAGGAAACAATATGGTAAATGACTCAGCCTGATGCCTTCTCATCCTCCGGTGCCCTGGCATCTGAAACAGATTAACTCTAGAGAGGAGGCTGCAGAGGGTGCGTGGAGTGTCGCTTCCTCTCAGGCTGCACTGAGAGCAGGACCCACTAGAGAACTTATCTGGTCTTTAAAGCCAAGAAGAGCCTACACCCCTGGAATTACATGTCATGCCCCATTAAGAGCTACAAATATTCAGAGCTTTTCGTTCAACTTCAGGATGGAGGAAGAAAGATGGGTCACTTCTCTGTCCTCTGAGTACAGCACTGTGGCACTTAGCTTTCTTCAGCATCCTTCTTCTATAAGAAAGCCACCAAAGTTGTCCCACTAACCATCCCAGACTCTGCTCTGCTCCTGGATGAGGAATGTGGGAATGCAGATCATACATAGCTTACAATGCAGATGCACAGCCTACTTACAGAGTCCAGCATAACAACAAACTCTGGTTTCTCTTCTTCACTCTCTTCTGCTTCAAAACCCAAGCCCCCAGACCTCGATTAGGTTCTATGCCTTTTGGTCATTTATCCAGACACAGTTCTCTGGTTCAGGGGAAACTGCCTCTCTAGAAATTCTTTCTCTCCATTCCTCCCCCTCCTATCTCCCACTCCTTGTTGGATGCTGTATCCTCTTTTATTCCCACCTTCTGAAGTTTCTTGGATTGGTTCCTTTTCTTGCTGCCCAGCGTAGTTCATGCTTCTCCCTGTACTGCACTACATTACTCAGTTATTTCTCTCTTTAGGACATCTTTCTTGGCTTTCACACCTTCTGCTTTCCAGTAATCTGAGATGAAGTCTACTTTTTCACTATTGTTGACCCAGTTTCTGGTACAAGCAATCTTGTTTGCAGTTAGTCATACAGAAGATTCTCTTGTCCAGATCAAAAGAAAAAGACTACTATACTGTTCATAAAACAGGACTCAGGGTAATTATGAATTCACATTATAGGGTCACCTGCTTTAGCCTGAGACTTATCTGTTTTTGTGCTTTGGGATTCTTTGTTTGGTCAAGGTATAACTTATACCAAGCCATGATAAACTAATTAAATAACTTGATATAGATTTGCTTAAGATTAATATTATTTCAGAAAAGAATATTTGCCCAATGATTTGTTGGACAGTATTAAGTACTTGTATGAGTTGATTGATAGCCCATAGTCCAGGGAAAGTTAAGAGGTGCCCAATGATTCTTTCAAGGATAAGATGGAGCCATATATTCTATTAGACTCAAGGATTAAGGAACTCTTTAGGAAAAGACAAAATCAGTGTCAATTAAAATGCACAACAGAGATGAGACAATATTCTGTATTAACTTAGATTGGCCTAAAGAGTTTGGAATTTTATATACTGAATTATAGTGTGTTCAATGTGATTAATGAATATCATCATTACAACTCTATTTCAGAACTTAGTTTTCTTTAATAATCCTCCATCTGCCACTTTGAGTCAACTCCTGGAAGTGATGAGCTGGCAGTTTTCATCCTATGTCGGCCGTGGCCTTAACTCAGATCAACTCAATATGTTAGCAGAGAAGCTTACAGGTGAGAGCGGGTAGATGTGGAAGACTTGCCTCTGTTTGGGGTACTCAAGCGTTTTAAAGAACCAGGTGATATTACTACTATTAATAATAATAATGATAGTCACAATTTATTGAGTACCCACTGTATTGTCAGGCACAGAACTAAATGTTCTGTTATCTTTCTTAGGAAAGGATAACTCCTTACTCTATCCACTTTATAGATGAGGATACTTAAGTTCAGAGGTTAAGTGACTTGCCATGGCTGCGTGGCTAGTACACAGCAGAGCCAAGACACCGGCCACGCCTGTCCAGTTCCAAAGCCCCTTCTTTCCATTCCGCTCTTGAGTCTCCAGGGTGTTTTATGCCATTTCCACTGAGTGCAATGCGAAGCCTTAATGGTGCTTTGACTTTCATATTAATATCACAATGGTCATTAACCAACTCGACAGTAGCTGATTCCAGGACCAGGGAATTTAATAGAAATTAAAAGCCACCCAGGCAATACTTGATTGTCCATATCAAGAAAATTTCAGTTTTGACTAATATTTTTAAAGTTTGCAAAACAGACTCATTGGTACTTCCTGTAGTGACTATAGTGTAAGATTTTTCTAAAAGAATTTCAAAAGATATCTATATTTTGACAAGTCTAGGGTGAACATGCTTAGCACCAAAAAAGAGTTAAGATGGAGTTTGTGTACAGTTCTAATTAAAGTAGGGCCACGGATGCATCTGAGCATCAGTAGTGAAATCATGTGTGATTTGGCAAGTGATGCTGGGTTGCCACTTGGACCTACTATCTGATCAATAGGTATTTAAATAAATCAGATATTTGGGGAATATTAAAACATTTAGTTAATGTAAATATGGTTTTTGAACTTATTTAGTTTATAAACTGCAATGGTAGGCATATTTGTTGAGTGAATAAAGTTTTTAAATGTGTAGTATAGATAGCAGCCATATCCTTTCAGATCTTTATCAGATTATCCTTATGAGTATAATTTCCTCAAAAATTTAGATAGAGGGCGCCTGGGTGGCTCAGTTGGTTAAGCGACTGCCTTCAGCTCAGGTCATGATCCCACGGTCCTGGGATCGAGTCCCACATCGGGCTCCCTGCTCTGTGGGGAGCCTGCTTCTCCCTCTCCCACTCCCCCTGCTTG